CTAACTTGCCTACGCTAACTGTGGTTATCTTCGTTAACTTTAATGTGTTTGCAGCATTTTGAGAAACTTCTGGAAGTTTTGTATTTTTCGCGGATTCGTTGCTAACCAACTTACTTCATATGCTAATTTAGTGAAGAGTTATGTTTGCATAGCCATATTCTTTAACATATATATTTTATTTGACAAAGTCATTTCAAATGATGGGCTATTGTTTGACAATCCCGGTGTGGCTGCGCTTGATGTGCATGTTGACAATGTGCCTACCTGTCTCTTACCCACTACCTCATCCATACTGGATCTAGGAGCCAGTTGGTCGTTGTTGGAGGGGACGGGGTGCACGGTGCTCGTGATCTTGCTAGGCTCGAAGAGTGGTTCCATGCACTCAGTGTGGAGCGGACTAAGGTCCAGCCACCGCCTTGTGTGCGCTTGATTTTCCAAATAGAGTGTGCTTTTGTTTGCCAGTGAAGAAGTGTGGGCAGCCTCCGTTGATGAAACGTGGCTCCCATCCACATGCCTCCCTGTCTTATTCCTTCGGGTTTACACTGGATATGAGGTGTGTGGTTGGAGCTGTGGGTGGTGCAGCGCAAGCCACCCATGGTCCCACTGTAGGCGCAGGCGTTCTGTGGCTGGCCACAGTGACAGGCAAATCCGAAACCGTATGCCGCCAACCATATATATATTCGCCTGATGCGATCAAACAAGATCGAAGCATGTGATGGAGTGTAGTGTTTCCCGGCGAGGAACACCGAATTTCTATATTCTGTCGGTCGTTGTATTATTGGCCTGATTACAACTAGCACACTAAAACCTGATCATTTACTGCTTGCGTTTGAAGTTGCAGTGAAGTAACCGATCAGAGCAATTATCCAAGGCTAAGTGCATAATTAACGACTTCCTACTGCATAACTCGAGGAAGTGTATCTGATTTGTGAAATATTAACACGGCCTTACATACAATGGATGGAACACTATTTTCGTGCAAAAGGCACCAGTAAGTGAAACACTGGGTATACTATCTCGCACTTCTTATACAGCAAAGATGCAATTGAATGCACAAGATACGAAATGACATCCAAGGTAGAGCGCCCTGGCCCATGGGTGGGCTGATTAATATCATCTGTATTGTTATTTGTGAAAAAGTGATTTAAAGTAGTTTTTATAGCAAGTTCAGCATCACGGAGACACTCGCGATTTGATGATACTTATACGCTTCCTTCATAGGCATTAGTATTGTCCTACCTGCTTTCCAAATGTCGTGGATACTACCACTTCTTAAACATCGGTTGAAAATCTCTATCGCCGGTGACTACAATGCATCCGCACACACTAACAGAACGAGTAGCGACAAGTCATCAGGGTCATTAGCCTTGTTTGGATTCAGTTCTGCGAGTTTCTTGTTAAAATGATATGGTCAAATAAGGAGGACAATCAGCTGTATAACCCCAGAAGCATGACAGTGTACTTTAAGAAACGCTGTTATTTTGTAGGCGATAACTTGAAGCTGGAAGACCGATCGAATCTAACACAGACCCAAAGCCATGAAAGGCAAGAATAGCAGGTTGGGGATGAAGGTGACGATATTAAAACAGCCTTCGAAGATTGCTGATGTGATCTATACATCAAAGGGATTAAAAATCAACCTCTTCTGTATCTGTGCATACAAATCGAACTGATGTCTATTTGTGAAGTCGAATGGATGCTAACAGTTTAGAGGCAAATGATATTAGGCTGATTTCTCTGGGATTTGTGCCCAGGTTGCAGACACTCTTTCAAAAAATAGAGCCGGTAATCGATAAACTCTAGATTTTAAATGTTGCAAACTATATATATATATATATATATATATATATATATATATATCGTTGACGACATCCGGCTCCTGATTTGCCTGTCACTGCGGCCTCCATAGGACATTCACAGGGCGCGTGCGCTTATAGAGAGGCCATGAGTGGCTAGCGCTGCACCACCCACAGCTGCATTCGCACATCCCATATGCAATGTAAACCCGAAGGAATAAAAGCGGGAGGCGTGTGGATGAGAGCCACTTTTCGTCAACTGATCCGACCCATACTCTTCCAAAAGGTTCCGCAGTAGCCAGTGTATCTATGTGGGGAATCATGCATGCCAGACATACACAAGACGGTGACTGTATGTGTACACCAGGAGACACCATATTTACCATCAGCCCATTTGCTGTCATTCTTCATGGACTTACATTGGATTTACAGCTTATGCTACATAGACCTCAGTGAGTTCACCTGTGTACACCCAATTTTGCTAACAACTGATTTTATATTTTCAAGTTGCGGAATAACCATCCTACGGAACCTGTTCAGCATTAGCTTTTTCCCCTTATAAAACCATTGTTCTATTGTTCCATTTAACCGTAGTCCATTCCGCACTGGATGCATGGAAGCACTGTTGAGCTTAGCACTGTCACGAGGAAAGGGCACCCAGTCCTCCGAGCAACGAGTCAGTCTCCGGGAACCAATAGCCGAGGTGGAAAATGCCAGAGAAGTAGGCACTTCGTAAATATTCATTTCAAGCTCAGAAACACCGCGGAATCCATCAGCCAAAACCTGCCATTCAAGAACACGTCATACTGATACACTCATAATCTAACTGCAGCGATAACGTGGCATACGTGCCACATCGATCGCATCATTGGTTTGGGTTAGTAAATGTAAGTGAACCAGAAGCAGCGTATCTAACATGCGCTGCTCCGATGATGATTACCAATAGAGTTAACTTTTCTTCTCTTGAATATTTATAAATGCATATATATAACAGAGGTACACAAAGTGGTGGCTGGGGCGTGGTCCGCTCCAAACGTGATGGAACCACTGATCCCAGCACGACCACGAGGACCATACACCCCGTCCCCTCCAGCAACGATTCATAGTCTCCTAGAGTCGGTAATCGAGGTGCGGAGTGTTAGAGAGGTAGGCATCTAGTCAGCATGTACCTCAAGCGCCAACACACCGGGCATGTCAAGCAACAGCCAATCATTGTAAATGACAATATCAAATAAAATAAAACCGAATAAAGCATACGGATATGCCGATATAACTCTTCGCTAAATTAACATATGAACTAAATACTTTCTCAGCATATTTGCGATAAACTCAAGGTCAGAAAAGGAGATGAAAAATGTAACGCAACAAAATTAAGGAAGTTAACCACATTTCGTTTAAATGACGTGTGTAAGAACTAAATAAAAAGTTATTCAGTTAGACATTAGAATGAGGTAACAAACCTAAACAATAAAAAGACAGTAAACCCACCACTTGAAATAAAGAAACTCAACACGTAAGCATATGGTTGGTAAATCGAATGGAAGCGCATGCACCGCTCTTAACAATACTGTGCGGAATCCGCTTACGTTCTCAGCAGGGTCGGTCAGTATTTCGATGCTGGTCACGAGTGACTTCGTTCGAGACTCCCTAGACCTGCCTTACTCAGGCACTCGCGACCGCATGTGTGCGCTCGACGTCGTATACACTCCATTCGCGTCTGCCGCTTCCGGACGTGCTGCTTCTACTCCGCATACACGAGGGCTTTCTGCTGCATCCCTGCAACTGCCTTCGTGATCAGATCGCGTCCTGCACGCCGACCAACCACCTTCGATTCCCAAGACCTATAATCAACATACAATATGATAAACTCACTTTGAGCATGCCATAGTAACGAAACTTCGGTTTCCCTCCATGTCGCTTCCTCACACTCAGCTGACCATATAATCGCTGCTTCCGTATCCGCGTTGAATCCACACACGTTTGACGCGCGTGCTCCCGCGTCATTTGGAATTATCGTCTCGATCTGCTCGCACGGTATTCACCGCAAGCTCATACGAACAGGATTTAGCAGCTCTACACAGTGATTACTCATACGTGGAACTATCTTTTATCACTAAAGTCCTAACCATCACTAACAGGTCTGACTGTCATCCGTGATTGAACACAAGCGGAAAACTTATTCACTTCATGCCCACTGCCTATCTGTGTAATACCATTCGGTGCAGAAATTTCGAGGCAGTCTGAAAAGCCTAAGCTCATTCCAATCCGGTGTATAGCAATGATACTGTGGAAGAATTTGGGAGCTCACAATCTGTGCTCAGCTTTGTGATTGATGCATGTACTAAGTCCACAACTAGCCGGGACTAACTCCGACCGATCAACCGAGCAACACTGCAAAGTGTGCTCACAGGGGACACTGATGACAGCAGGTTAGCCAAGCACGCTGACGCACGCTTATTGTTGACGCGGGAAGCTACACTAACTGATTATCCGACAAAGGCTTGACCTTAAAAATGCGCGCCCTCTGCGAACAAGTCTCACGTTAAGAGCAAGTGTGAGTTGTGGTAAATTGGTGAAGACTGGGCTAGTGTACAGCAGTTGCCTGAAAACTCACAATAAATGTCTTGGAACAGGGCCGATAAAAAAGAGACTTACGACAGTTTTGTTCTGGTTCTGTCTAGCATGAAGTGCCATCCCAGT